CAGGCTGTGCCCCCAGTAACTTCCTTTCAGACCTATGCAAGGTGGGGCCTTTAGGTCCCCACATATCCCCCTTTTTATTTTTATTTTAAGGCCGGACTGACTTTATTTCATGGGTTACCCACCTAGGTGGCTCCCTGAGGAGAGATGGCTATCTCCTTCCTCTAATCTTATGCATTTTTGCCTGTCTTAGGTTGTGTCACCTCTGATCAAGCCTTGCCCATCATTGGATCATGCACCTGGCCATGTGCATGTCCTGTCTTAGGAGTACTTGTCATGGGACATCTTAAAGGTCCCAAAGGTCCTTGCAAACTCCCTTTGTGGCTGCTCTCTCTGTACACACTCCCTGCATGCAGGGACAGCCCGGCTGTAAAATAAATCTCCCTTGCCTCAACTTTGACCTCGTGGCATGGCTTGATTTCCAACTTACAACAATTGCTTGATATCTAGCTCCTTATTTTTCCACACAAGGCACCTTTGTATGTGGTCCTGTCCTGTCTTCCTCTTCTGCTGCTTCTGTAATAACTCAGTAGAAAGGACCAAGGTGTTATCTGATCCAGGTCTTTAGTATAGAATGAACTTCAGTTGGAAATCTTAGGTTGTAGGAAGCTCTTAGTTTACTCTCTGGACCTTGGTTTCCTCTTCTAGAGGAGAGGATGGATGGGTCAGACCCAGTATTCCAGTTACCTTAATTCCTACCTGGGCCTTGTATTGCTTTGCTTCAAACTGTGGCTTGGATGTAAATGCTGTCAGCTCCTCATTGCTCTTTTTCTGTACAGCAAAGCTAAATAGCCTCACGGACTCTTGACTCTCTCATCTATTACATGGGTCAACTGAAAAAATTATGTCATCTTCTTTTTTTTCCCCCTAGGTTAGGGCTCTGCTATGTGTCCCAGAAAGGTCTTGAATTCAGCATGAATCTGAGGCTGGCCTCAAACTTATTCTGATATCCTGCTTCAGCCTCCTGAATGGTAAATGTACATGTGTGCAGCACCATGTTAGCTTAGAATGCATACTATACCGTCTATGACCTGATGTATGTAAAGGACTTGACAGCATAGTGGTTCATGTATGCTATTTCAGCACTGGGAGGCAAACTGGTCAGGAATTAAAGAATATGCTTGGGTACATAATGGCTTTGACACCAGCCTGGGTTACATAAGCATGTGTCTTACCAATTTTTTAAAAATGAATTTGATGTTATGTGGTTGTTGTTATTATCATAAAAAGACAATGTAACACATAATACTATGATATTCAGCTAATATCTGGGCATTTCAATAGCAGCACATCTTTCACTGTGAAACAAATATTTGTCAAGATGGGCTGGAGGCCTGTTTATGCTCTGTATTGGCTATGTGGCTGGGCCCGGTATCTTTTTTCTGTCTTTGAAATAGCTTTAACAGTTGACGATGATGCTAGATCGTTACAGGCCTCACGAACAGATTGAGACTAGCATGCAGAATGAAGTAATGAATGATTTATTCCTTTCTTCACACCACTTGTTTTAATTCTGGTGTGTATATGTATCTGTGCCTTACACTGTATCACCCTCTCCCCATTCTGGTGTGTGTGTGTGTGTGTGTGCGTGCGTGTGTGTGTGTGTGTGTGTGTATGCATATCCCAGTGCTGAGTATGGCTTGGAGGGTCATTTGCATGCTAGTTCAGCAATGTGCAACTGAGCTATATCCCCAGCCCATCTCATTCTGTAGCCCAGGCTGTTCTCAAGCTGTGATCGCCCTTCATCTGCCTTCAGAGTGCTGGGATTAGAAGCGTAGGCCACTACATGTTGCTTTCTCTGATGTTCTCTTTTTTAATTATTATTTTAATTTTTATTTTATGCGTATGAGTGTTTTTCCTGTCAGTATGTAATTGTACCTATGCATGCAATGCCTGAGGAAGCCAGAAGATGGTGTCATATTTCCTGGAATTGGAGTAACAGAGAGTTGTTAGCCACCCTGTGGGTGGGTACTAAGAATTGAACCTTCTCATGAGCAGCCAGCTTGTAACTGCTGAGATACCTTTCCAGCCTCTACATATAGCTTTTTAAATTCTTTCTTTTTTTTGGGGGGGGCTCTTTTTTTGAGACAGGATCTCCCTGTAGCCCCAGCTGGCCTGGAACTTACTATGTAGACCAGGCTGGCCTTGAACTCACAGAGATCTGCCTGTCTCTGCCTCTTGGGTGCTGGGACTAAAGGTATGTGCCACCATACCTGGCTAAATTCTTTCTTTTTTGTTAGAGGTTTCTCAGTGTAGCTTAGGCTGGCCTAGAGCTCAGCGTGGGTTCAAGCAGGCCACAAACTCTTGGTATTCCACCTACATCAACCTCTTGAGGGCTGAGAGTGTTGGCATGTACTACCATGCCCAGTTATACTTGTCTTGACTTTCATCCTAGTCTTCAGACCTGGCCTCATCATGTTCTTAAGCACACAGATGAGACTAAATAAGTCCATTCAACGTAGGCCAAGCTTGAACCAGGAACTGGCTCAATCTCGCCTAAATTTTGAAGAAAATTCAACTAAGTTTCCTGTCTGAATCTGCTGCCCTGATTCAGACGGGTCACATGGTGAATAACTAGGAGGAGAAGGTTTTAAGTTGGGTCTCTCTATCTCCAGTGTCCTGCTCCACCCAGCTGACCTGGTGGGTGGCCAGGCTGCATCTCTAATTCTCAACCCCTCCTTCCTGGGAAGGAATGATACGGAGAGGGAACTGAGACACGTAGGGTGAAATCGTGTGAACAGGGCAATCTGCAGGGACTTGACCTCACAGTTCACTCTCTGCAGTTTGGTTGTGCTACCCCAGGAGCAGGAAGACATGGGGGGGGCAGTTAAGATTCCATTTGCAGCAGGAAGTAGCAAAGTTAGACTTTCATCACTGACAGAACGAGCACTAGAATTTCAGTGAGAACCAGTGGGTTCTACAGAGGTAAATAAAGACGTAGAGCCCAGAAGGGAGGGTGTCCTAGTAGCATTTCTGTATTTGTGATAAAATATCCTGACAAATGGCAACTCAGGGCAGGATGGGTTCAAATCAGCCTAGGAAGAAAAAGAGTCAGGACCTTGAGACAGCAGGTGACGTCCACAGCCAGCAGAGAGAAGCGAATGCACCCATGCTGCCTGCCGGCTGCTTCTGTGCTCAGCTGGCTTTACTCATTCTTGTCCAGTTCAGGGCGCTGCCCACCAGTCAACTTTATCTGGACAATCCCTCCTGGAGACTCTCTGGCTAGGCTTTGAAGTTTGTGTCCAATTTTCAATTAAACCTAACCATCGGAGCTAGAGAGATGGCTGGCATTCAGGAGCATTGGCTATTCTTTAATAGGAACTGGCTTCAGTTCTTGGCATCCACATGGTCCATAACTCCAGTTCCAGGTGATGCAATGCCCTTTTCTGGTCTCCATGGCCATTGCACAACATTTTTTAAATCTGTATGAGTGTTTTGCCTTCATTTGAAGGGAAAACACTCATACAGATGAAAAATTAAATCATAAATAAATAAACATCATCTTAAACAGCACAGGGACAAACTTGTCCAAGATATATTATATGTACTGGAAAATTACTTTGCAATAGGGATATTCTTGGTTTTGAATGGGTGAGTTCAGCAAGTCAAAGTAAAAGAAAAATAACCAAGTAGCAGATAGACAGACTGCAAAACAGCATCAAACCAGGGGATTGAAACATGCAACAGAAGTTGACTGTAGAATCCTCCTTCAGGCAGTCAGCTGGAGTTCCCAACAGACTCCTGGGCAGAACAGAATGCCTGCTTGGGTGAGACTTCCAAGTATAAGAACAAATTACAGCAGAAGGTGATCTCATGAAGTCAGGGGCTTACAACATCTAGCAGAGATCCACTGTGGAAGTTGAGGCCTAATGCCTGAATTTGTAGACCTTGGGTAGGGGCTTATTCCTTGCCCTAGACATTACTGAGAGTTTCAAGACTTTTAACTTTAATTACAGAAAAGAATGTCTATTTTCTTGCATCCCCATGATCTAGACTTTATCTATTGTAACCCTGGTAGGTCCCCCTTAGGATTGATCTGGTGATGTCATTTATGTTCCTTAGACACCCTTTAAAGCTTCAAAACCCACCAGAATCGTATATATAATAATGTAAAGACAATGAACCGTGAGTCTTTCTGCCAGCCTGTGCTACATATGGGAGGTCCAGGTCAGCTCGGGCTATAGGAAGACCATATCCCCCCAAAACAAAACAAAACAAAACAAAAAATAAAACCAAAACACCAACAAACCCTAACAAACACAAAAAATTTCAGGGAGGTAAGGTCTTACGTTTATTTATATTCCATCCATCCATCCATCCATCCATCCATCCATCCATCCATCCATCCATCCATCCATCCATCCATTCATTGTGAGAATGTGAGTCTGCGTCCTCTCATTCATGTATGCCCTTAGAGGACAACTTGTCTGAGGGTGTACTTTCCTTCCACACTGTGGGATCCAGAGATCATTCTGAGGATCTCAGGCTTGGTGAAAATCATCTTCACCCATGACATCAGCTCTGGGTGCTGAACTTGTCATTCTTATTTCATTCTCTCATCACGTGGTAACGTCTGTCAATCAGGCTGTCAGCAGAGCACCTGAAGCCCTATCCAATAGAAGGCAGGGTTGTGAGGACTGTCCAATGAGGCACAGAGATTCCGAGTAGAGGGCGGGCTTTGTCGCTGATTCCGTCTTACAGCCAGGTTGGGGGTCTGTGGCTGGGTTTCTTTCCTGCTCAGTATGTGAATAACATCCGTTTACCCGGAATTCAAACCTGATGCAGCCACGTGTGCAAAGTTTAGTAAAAATCACAGGCGCTGGGATCTTCAGAGGGAGTCTTGTTTTATCACAACTGCAGAGAGAACGTCCTAGTATTTTACTCCCACGGGCTTGGCCGGCCAGCTACTGTCAGTCACGGAGTCAGGCCGAAGCTCCATCCAATCAGCGTTACCGTTGGAAAAGCGTCCAATCAGGCTGACGAGCGCGGGGGTGGGGGCGGGCTCTGTCTCCAGCCATCTTTGGCCGTTTTCCCGTCCTGCGTTCTCTGTGGTTCCGGAGCCGTGAATGTCTGCGTGGTGTCTGCGCCCTCCGACTCTGCTGCGGGAGGAGCGCAGTGAGGACGGGATGTCCGGGAATCAGGAGATGGTGAGCGGGTCCTGACAGGAGGAGGCCGAGTCCACTCCCCGCCGCTCCGGGAGCCCCGGGCGTCCTATCCCGGCCCTGCTCGGGGCCTCGAACCCCGGCTGCAGCGCTGTCCGCAGGAGTCCTGGGCTCGGGAGGGCGCAAGGGGGGTTGTGGAGCGACCGCGGCGGGCTGCGGGGTTCTCGGCCCTGGTCTGCGGCCCCGGGGCGGGGACGGCCGGAGGGCGTTTGGGGTCCCGGCGCCCCTGTGGCCCTGCAGCCCAGGGAACCCGCCTCGCAGGGTTAGTTTGAGCTATAGCCAGAAGATGTCAGATTTTTGATAGGCTTGGCCTTAACGCCCGTGCGAGAGAGAGCGAGCGAACTGACAGCTCTTGGATATTTATTTATGTATTTATTATTTGTCTTAAAGACAGTGTCTCCCTGTAGCTCCAGCTGACCTGGAACTAACTCTCTGTAGGTCAGTTTTGCCTCAAACTCACAGAGATTGCCAGCTGGGGGTATCAGCCCTCCAGCTTGGTTCCCCTTCTGTGCTTCATCGGTGGTTCTCACTTCATACTCTCTCCATTGTCAGCTTTAGAATCAGTTTGTCAGTACACGCAAGAAAAGTTGCTGAGATTCTTATTTAGATTGCTTTGCATCAGTGAGGTTTTAGAAATTGATATCTGACAATACCAGCTCTTTGCAAGCATTAATAGAGTGTGCTGGGATTAAAGGCATGCACCATCACACCTGGTTTTCTGTTTAGTGTCTCCCCAGAAGGATAGTTATTTCCTTTCTTTTAAAAAAATATTTTATTATTTTTATTTTCTGGGTATACATGAGTGTATTTTCTGTATGTGTGTAAGTCTTCCCATGTCATGCAATGCCCATGGAGGTCAGAAGATGGCTTCTGATCCCCTGGAACTGGAGTTTCAAACGGTTGTTAGCTGCTAAATGGGTGCTGGGATTTGAACCTGGGTCCTCTGCAGGAGCAGCCAGCCCCTTGACTGCTATCATGCTCAATTTTTTAAGGTAAAATATTTATGTTCTTTGAAGAGAAAATTGAGTATCCTTTTTTTAATAATTGCTCATTTTAATATGTTGCCCTCCACATCTTGAGACTTGTTTTGATTTGAACTGGTATTTTTTTTGTTTTGTCTTTATTTTTGGAGATTTTCTGGTTTCTTTGTCTTTTCAGAGGTGGTACCATCAAACCAGAGCCTTAAGCTAAAAGGGCTCAACCTCAGAGCTACAGCAGCCTCCTCCTTCTTCCTTTTGTGACAGGGTATCTCTAGGAAGCTCAGGCTTGCCCTCTGCTTTGTACGTTCTGGCTCTGACTCCCAGGTGCTGGGATTATAGTGCATTGTTGCCATCGTCCACTTTGTGCTGTGAATTTACACCCTGCAGGTTTGTGCTGACAGAGAGGGGCTAATGCATTTTGACCCTGTTGGTGACCCTGTGAGGCATGAATTTTGTCCATTTGAAAGAGGAGGAGTCTGTACATCAGAGAGAGCTAGTCTTTTGTCTAGGGTGACACAGTTGAGGCAGGGTGGGTTCTTCTGTCTTCATACCCAATGTCTGGGGGATATAAATGCATTGGAATTATCTACATATTATTGTTAGTAGAGGATGGGAAACATGCTATTGTTCAGAGAACTGTATTTGTGAAACTTGTTCCAAATGGCAGGCAGAGGGATTCTGCGGTTACTAGGTACATTGTTTGGAGAGGGGTGTGGATAATCCAAATCACATAGTGTCCCAGATTAAACTATCTCCTATGCCTGCTTTTCTCAAAACGCAACAGAACACCAAGTGTCTTTTCCTCAGAGGGCCTGCTTACCTCCACTTCCTGTTTTTTGAGAATAGGAAATGGGCACAGAGGAGACAGAAAACGGCCAGCTTAAATTCAAATACCAATCACACGGTTCAATTGCACTGACTCTTATTATGTCCTAGTGTTAGAAATGGTCTGGGATCTGAAGAAAATAATCATATAATCCAAAGTATTTGGGCAAAGCAAAAATTTTACTTCTGCAGAAAGGTACAAAGCTGCCTTAATCCAGCAAGCAAGCACATCAGGCAGGGGTCCTGGTGGGTTTTTATGCCTAATACAAGGGGTCCTATGCCTCACTCTGAATTGCCAGAGCACGGCCTCACATTCCTAGATGAATCATTAAAAACTGAGCACTTCATCAGCAAAGTGAAACTTTGTATGTTTGTTTATTTTGAGGCAGGGTCTCCTATGTAGCACCAGTTGGCCTAGAAATGGCTATGTAGACCAGGCTGGCCTTGATCTCAGAGAAATCTGGCTGCCTCTCAAGTGCTGGAGTTAATGGTGATAGTATACATTCTCTTTAATCATGTTTTCTTACATTCTTATATGAACAGAGGTAAGATATTTATATTGATTTTTCTCCTTTTGATCAAATCAAGCAACACACTGTAAGACTGGGGAGACACGTACACAGAGTAAAGAATCAGTTTCTTCCCTATTGCTGAGGGCATGGTTGAAGAGAATTATGTTATTACAGGGCTCTGTATCATTTGAAGATGTTGCTGTGGACTTCACTTGGGATGAGTGGCAGTTTCTAGACACTGCACAGAGGAGCCTCTACAGGGATGTGATGCTGGAGAGTTACAGCAGCCTGGTGTACTTGGGTGAGTTACCTCTTCTGCAACTCTAGGACAGATCACATTCTTTTTGGTTGATGAGTATAGGAGCTATTTCAAACTTAACATTGACTCTGGTTTAACCATATTTATAGACACACGGTAAGAGCACATGTCTATGTGAGCAGTGTAGCTTTGGAGTACACTTATGTGTAATGATCAGGTGAAGGAAGCTGATAGGTCTGTCAGCTCAGGTAGTACTTGTTTGTATTGGGAGCATTTCAAATGCAATATTGATTTGGAAATATTCAGTTACTTTTGCCATAATTTACTCACTACTGTTTTCTGTTTGTTTTTGATCAACTCTAGCTTACAAACAGGATAAGAACATGTGAGATGTTTCTTTTTATGCATGACATACATCACTTATTGTATTACTTTTCTGTTTTTTTGATATTATATCCTGATATAAAGTGATATAGAAGAGAGTTCATTTTAGCTTACAGTTCTAAAGGAATAGAGTTCATCATGGTATGGAAGGGATTGCATTATGAGTGAGAGGCCAGCCTGGCCGTCAGGAAGCAAAGAGATCACACGTCACACAAAGCTGAGGTAACAAATGGGGAGCAGCCTGGGTGTAAATGTCAAAGCCCAGCCTCCTTTTCTACTTTCTCTAGCAGGGTTACACCTCCTAAAGTTTCATTAACCTTCCCAAACAGTGCCATCAACTGGAACCTAGTGTTGACATACATGTCCCTCAGGGGGACATTTCTTATTCAAACCACTATACAACTGTCTTTCACTTTTTCACAGGTATGCAGGGAGTAGACAGCCCAGAGACAGGTTCCTTCCATTTCAGGTTGGTGAATTCATGACTTTTCTAGGGGAACATAGACTAGAAAGATGGCTCTCAGCTCTATCACCAAAATTTGCAGTCCTTGTGATTTTTGACTGATTTATACCATATTCAGGTAGGGAAAATGCAGGCTTAGATGGAATCTCAGTTGGGTTAGTGTAATCCTATATAGGAATGAAGCCCCATTTCCATCATTATCAACCTTGATATCTGCTGTTTCTCTCTCTGTATAGCAGTAAGTCACTGTTGGCCAGTGTTGGCTGCTTAGATAGAACCCAAGGAAACAGCTGCACTACAACTACTACAGCTATACAGTGCGTGTCCATGTCACGGTGGCAGTTTTCTCTCATTTTAATGAGTAACGTTTGTCTTTTACTGCCATATATGTTCACACATTCTTCTGTTAACGAACACTCGCCTTTTACATCATGTGTATGAAGGTTTGCCCTGTGTTTTAATTACTCTTGGCTGCTGTGATAAAATACCATGACCAAAAGCAACTTATAAAGAATGTGTTTATTTTGGTGTAAAGTTCCTGATGTATGAGAGTTCAACACAGCAGGGAGGCATGACAGAAAGCAGACATGGTGGTACAAGAAGCAAGCTTAGAGATGAGAGTCAGTTAGGTAACATTGTGAACACTCAAAGCCCATTCCTAGTGCCATCCTTCCTCCAGCAAGGCTCCAAATCTTACACATTGCTCAAACAGTACCACCTACTCGTGACTGAGTTTTCAAACTTGTGAACCTATGGGGAGCATTTCTTATTTAAACCACAACAGCCTGTATGTACCGTATGTACCATATGCATGCTGTCCTCACACAGGGCAGAAGAGGGCATCACATCCCACGGAACTGAAGTTACTTTGCTTATAAGCTGCCATTTGGGTGATGGGATCCAAACCCTGAGCCTTCTCTCTATCCTAGATGCACACTTATCTTTACTTGTATCTTGGCTTTTATCAGCAATCCTGTAGTGCACAAAGAACTCCAGATTTCTATGTATAATTCTTATTTCACTTGAATATGTTTTCCTCCAGTGGATACTGTTGTTACCATTCGGAGGTCTTGATCTGGTTCATTTTCTCTACCAATTAAAGAGTTAAAAGGCAGGAAAAATACAGTCTCAAGACGTAGCAGACATTATTAAAAGTAAAGAAACACAGACATACTCATATATAAGACTCTTTCCAAATGGGGAGAGGATGTTGAAACCAAGAATTCAAAGCCCTACAGGATCCTGAGTCTTTTGCTCAGTGTTGGTGGTAAGGCTTAAGTCCCCTTCCACTAATTTTGTTTTGGTCAAGTTAAACAAAGAAGAGAGTGCTGATAGACTGTTAGATCAAAGCTGAGATTATGTCCAGGACTGACCTTAGCCAAACTGATCTGGACTTGTCAGCTAGAATAGGGGGCGCTGCCCTGCCTGCTAAAGAAAAAGCCTTTAGACTTTGTTTTAGGTGGAAGAATAATCAGGAAGATTCTCAGTCTTGTTATTTATCAGTGGTCCTGTCTGCTTGTCAGGGATTTAGTTCCTCATTAGTATCATGTCATAGTTCTGAGTTTAGTATTTAGAGTAAGTATCATACTGTATTTTTTTTAACCTGTGGCCCTAGTTGCCCTTGAACTTGGTATGTGGACCAGGCTGGCCTCAAATTAACAGATACCCAACTACTACTGCTTGTCAAGTGCTCCTAAACCATACTCATATAACTAACCCCAATAAATTCATTTATTCACTAAGCTGGACATTCCTGTAATCACTACTTTGGTCCACTCAGGTTCCATGACATGGGTGAAAAGATGGGCTGGTGTTTTTCTCCACGAAAAGTCTAACACAAAACACTTGGCGTTTGTAAGTGGGGCCACATCTGTGTAAGGGCGGAGGAAGGTTAGGGTTAGGAACTGCTAAGGCCTCCTTTCACCACATGGCATGTGATACTGTGCTTGCTTGATATGACAGTGGTTGCACGGCCCTTGCTTTGGGTGGTAAGACATACAACCAAGGCTGAATCCTCTACCCAGAGAAAAGTCTGCCTGGGCAACTCCTGGGGGATCGCCTACTAGCATGTCTTCCTGTGTGGTATGAAATATTATGCCTGCTTAAAGAATGGGGTGTCCAATTACTTTGAATTTAGCATGATAGTATGAGACACAAAAAACAAATTCTGAAACGTGTCATAAAATGATTAATATAAATTACTATTATAAATACAAATACAGTACGGAGGCTAGGTGAGGTGGACCACTCAAAAGCATCTACATCATTGAAATGCCCACCATAACATGGATGATGTCTTGCATGCAGGCACACAGGTTGGAGAATCTTCTCAGCTTCTTGGTTTCCCTCCAGTTTGCTGCTTCTATAACTTTCAGTTGGTGTCATAGTGAATGTTGTAAGTTTGAACTTCGCCAGATATATGAAGTTTACTACTTGTGATCGATCTGTTGGCATCTCCACACGTTCCTGAAGGAATGTTTCAATTCAGTGGAACTCACTATGGAACAGGGATACTGCATCTGTAGTTTGGTAGCTGAGTTCATGTGTAGCTTTGAAGTCATTGTGATACTGGTATGGCTGTTCTTTTAGATGGGATATCAGTTTTCTTGAAGTATTTAGAATTCTGTTTGCTTAGAGTTTTGCAGTAGACTGTAATGTGACCCAGAATCATTTGTTTGGGAAATCTATTAGTGTTCCTGTGAGCATCTTGACTCTGTGTTTGTTACTCTTGTGCCTTGTATTCTTCACTGAATAGGTCATTTGTCATCCTCTCTTCTGAAACACCTATGAGGCAAATGTTTGCTTTTTCACTTGTCATTTCCTCATCCTAAAAGGTATAGCCTTCCTTAATCTGCCTGGATTTATTTTTAAAAAAATTCTATGCTCAAAACACATTTTTTTTTCTCAAACCTATTAAACTACGATGTGTTTTATAGTATCTTATGCTTTTATTTTTTCATTTCATTAATTGACGTCTCCCACTGTAAAATTGTCTGGTTCTTTTTTACGATCACTCACTTTTTCAAGTGCCCTAAATAGCATGTCTTTCTAATTTTATGGTGTTTTGTCTCTTTTTTTTTTTCAAATTTTCTTAAAATTATTACTTTGGTATATATCATGAAGTCTTATACCACTGAAAGGTAATGTTCTAATGAGGGAACAATGTGTCTGTCAACCTTCTCTAATGAAATATTCTGGTTCAGTGACTAAATCCAGGTTCCTGAATTAGAGCAGTTACCTCTCATCAGTAGACTTGATTTAGCACTCTGGCTTAATTTGAATTTTACTTCTCATTCACAGGGCACTGCACAAACAAACCTGAATTGATCTTCAAGTTGGAATGTGAATTTGGCCCATGGAGTGTGTCAGAAGCCTCCAAGCAGAGCCTTCCAGGTCAGTGAATCCATCCTGAGCAAGGGAGGCCAACAAGAAGCCAAGTCATCAGATGTTGGTCATGTTGATGTCGTTCCACCAGTGTTTATTCAACCCCAATTTGTATCAGCTGATATGATGAATCAGACACATTATTTTTGCAGTTCCTGGAGGCTTAGCCATGTCAACTCATCTCCTTGAGTTTTTTTTTTTTTGCTGAATTTTCTTAAATTTGTCAAAAATTCAATCCCTGGGTAGATCTGAGACATTTTTTTTTTTTTTTGACGTTTTGAGACAGGATCTTTTGTAATACCACTGGTCTCATACTTGCCATAGAGCTGAGGCTGGCCGTGAACTCATGACTCTTTTGCCCTGTGTATCCCACGTTCTGTGACTGAAGGCTTGTTCGACCACAACCAGATGGTGAGATAATTTCATTGGTCAGATAGTTTACCTAAGTTTTTTCCTTCTCTGTTTTATATTATACTTTCTTTTTTTGATGTTTCTATTTATTGACTCTTTAAATTTCATCATCCAAGGAGTTTTTTTTTTTTTTTTTGTATAGTGGTGAGCATAGCTGTCTTCCATATTATACTTTTTTATCAGGCCTTTGGTGACCTGTTCTTCCAACAATGGCTCTCCAGTGACCTAACTAATTACTGTGTTTTAATTGTGATTTCAGAACTACTCATTCAAATACATCTTCGCTTTATGTGCTTCCATACTGTGAAATGAAATTAAGCAAAGACAGATATTTTGGTGAGATAAGGGACACAAGATAAGGGTGAGAATCAGAGGAAGAAAATAGACGCTGTTTTATTTTAGAAAAGACATAATACTAAATCACTATTAAGGAAGTAGTCCTGCTTTCTCTTGGGATGGCTTTTCCGCATTTTGGTGTATAATACACGGTTAGATACAATTCCAGATTGATAGTGACTGTGGTTAAAATGTAAATACAAATCTGGAAATTTGCATACTTGAGAGTATTAATATAGTTCTTGTTGCATCTACCGATGGAATTTGTAAGAAAATGAGAAAGAGTATCATAATTTCCCTGTTAAGAAGGAAGATTAGAAATTACCTCCATGTTACCTCATTAATGTGTTAATTAACAAAGGAGATAATATAGTCCCAGGAGAGTTGGGGGAGGAAGATTGTTGGAGATTAAGAAAGAGGTATCAGCCAGGGATGGTAGTACCTGCCCTTAATACCAGCATTCTGTAAGCAGAGGTGGGTAGATCTCTGTGAGTTCAAGGCCAGCCTCCTTACATAATGAAATCCAGGCCAGCAAGGGATATAGGGAGATCCTTTCTCAAAAAATGTATTAAAAAACAATTTTAAAGTGGCTGGAGAGATGGCTAAGCCGTTAAGAACACTAGGCCGGGCGTGGTGGCGTATGCCTTTAATCTCAGCACTCGGGAAGCAGAGGCAGGTGGGTCTTTGTGAGTTCAAGGCCAGCCTGGTCTACATAGTGAGTTGCAGGACAGCTGGAGCTACAGGGAGACCCTGTCTCAAAAAGACCAAGAAAAACCCCAAAAAACCACTGGCTGTTTTTGCAGAAGACCCGGGTTAGAATCCCAGCCCCCACATGGCAGCTAACAGCTGTCTATAACTCCAGTTCTAGGGGATATGATATCCTTTTCTGTCCTCTGCGGGCATTGCATGACATGGATGCAATGTGCAGGCAAAACATGCATACACATAAAATAAAAATAAATAAAATATTAAAATAAATTTAAAATATTTTTTAACATTTTATTTATTTTTAATTGAAATTTTTATTTTGTTTGTATGAGTGTATTGCCTCCATGTGTATAAGTGCACCTGTGCCATGCAGTGCCTTCAGAGGTTAGAAGAGGGTATCGCATTCCCTGAAACTGGAGTTACACATGGTTGTTAGCCGCTGTATAGGTGCTGGAACTGAACTGGGGTCTCTGCAAAAGCAACCCATGCTCTTAACTGCTGAGCCATCTCTTCAGCCCCTTCAAATAATTTTTAAAGATTAGTGTTAAAAAAAGAGAACAGTATCAGGGGCCAGGGATGGTGGCATAGGCTGTTAATCCTAGAACTCCAGAGGGAGAGGCAGGCAGATCTTTGTGAGATTGAAGCCAACCTGGTTTGCATAACAGTTTCCAGATCAGCTTGGGTACAGGGAGACCCTATCTTAAAAAAAGAAAAAGTCTTGTCAGGATAGCTTATAAGCAGAAAAATCAAAAGACAATGCAGAGGGAAATAGTGTAAAGTCCAGATCTGAGCAGAACTCAGAAGGTGCTGTGTTATTCTCTTGTTACACTCTTATTCGCTTGTTCTTTCGTTTTGACCTCCTTGTTGTTTTTTTCTAATTTTTATTTTTTTAATTAAAACTTTTTCATTTATTACATTTCTGTGTGTGTGTGTGTGTGTGTGTGTGTGCGCGTGTGTGCGCGTGCGTGTATGCACAGACATGTTAGAGGGTGTCTTTTCACCCACTTTGTGGAAGCCAGTTGATACCTTTATGGAGTTGTTTTTTTCTACCAAGTTTCTGTGGATTGTGAGATCATACTTAGGTCACTAAGCTTGTGCTTTTTCACACTCTATTCTTCTTACTTTTATTTTACTTAATTTATGGGGCATTTCATGGAGTTATATTGGTTGAAACATACATGTATGGGAATCCTTTATCCTGTTCAGAAGAGAGTATAGTCAGGGTGCCATCACCTTCCATCTAACTAACTGAAGAAAGTTTTGCAATTTCACATGTCAAAGAGATGTCATGTTGAGTAAAATTTTGTGCATATTTATTATAATTAATAAATGGAACAGGGGAAATAGCAGGTTAAAATGACAAAATAAAAACTAACAGCTGGCCGGGTGTGGTGGCACATGCCTTTGATCCCAGTATTCAGGTGACAGGCAGGCGGATCTCTGTGAGTTCTAGGCCAGTCTGGTTAGTGTCATTTGTTATACTTAGTCATGAAAGTAAAATGTTCTCACTTATTTTAAAATTTACATGCTAATTAGTAAGCACTCATTTATATGTCTAGTGCATAAAAAAGATTTAAGGGTGATTCATGGCAAATATTTGTAATATCATTATAGGTGTTCACAAAGTGACCACTAAAATGAAAAGCATCTTGGAAAATGACAGGCGACATCTGTGGCAAGTTGGAATCACCAACAGCAAGACATCGAGTGAAGAGATTGTTGACGTAATACATTTAAAAAAATTTTTTTTACTAATTTTATGTGTGTGAATCTATTGCCTGCATGTATATAAGTGCACTCATGTTGTGCAATTCACATGGAGGTCAGAAGAGGGCATTGAATCCCCTAGAACTGGAGTTATGGATGGTTGTTAGCCACCGTGTGGGTGCTGGGATTTGAACCTGGCTCCTCTGAAAGCGCAGCCTGTGCTCTTAACTGCTGAGCCATCTCTCCAGCCCCATAAGTAATACTTTTAAAGTGAGCTGTCAATGTATTTCAAGTCTGAACATAAAGACTAGAAACACTTCTGGAATGTTTCCTCTAGAACTTAACTGATGACTGGGAAGATAAGATAGATTAGTCAGGAAAGTGTTTGGCAGGTAGCAGTGAAGACATGAGTTTGGATCCAGTGCTCCTGTGTATGACTCTCTAAGAAAAATAACCAATTATTCTATCTCCAGGCAGATCTAAAAATGCAACAGATAATTCAACAAAGAAAAGCCTGTGAAGGTACAAGATGTGCGAATACATTATATCCAGAGACACACCACAGCACAGATCAGATGTCTAACATATGTAAGAAAGGTTTTAGTTATAAATTGGCTTTCACTCAATATCAAAGGCCTCATAGAATTGATAAATCCTGTGATGGTAAAAAATGTAGTAATACCTCCTCCTTCAAGTCAGAATTCACTGTATCTTGGAAATGTCATACAGGTGTGAATCCTTATGAATGTAAACAGAGTGGAAAAGCATTCTTCTGCAAGTCTAACCTCACCATGCATCAACGAACTCATACAGGTGAGAAGCCCTATGAATGTGAGCAGTGTGGAAAAGCCTTCCCCAGGAAGTCTTACCTCACTGTGCATAAAAGAACTCATACAGGAGAGATGCCCTATGAATGTGAGCAGTGTGGAAAAACATTCCACACAAAGTCTCACCTTACTATGCATCAAAGAACTCATATGGGGAAGAAGCCCCATAAATGTGAACAGTGTGGAAAAGCTTTCTACTCTAATTCTCACCTCACTGTGCATCAAAGAATTCATACAGGTGAGAAGCCCTATGAATGTGAACAATGTGGAAGAGCCTTCCACTCTAAGTCTTACCTCACTGTGCATCAAAGAACTCATACAGGTGAGAAGCCCTATGAATGTAAACAGTGTGGAAAAGCTTTCTGTAAAAACTCTACTCTCCGGAAGCATCAAACAACACATACAGGTGAGAAGCCCTATGAATGTGAGCAGTGTTGCAAAGCTTTCTCCAGGAAGTATCAGCTCACTGATCATCAAAGAACTCACACAGGGGAGAAGTGCTATGAGTGTGAGCAGTGTGGAAAAGCCTTCTTCCATAAGAATAATCTCACCGTGCATCAAAGAACTCATACAGGGGAGAAACCCTATGCATGTAAACAGTGTGGAAAAGCCTTCTGCAAAAACTCTTCTCTCCAGAAGCATCAAAGAACTCATACAGGAGAGATGGCCTATGAATGTGAACAGTGTGGAAAAGTATTCTACACAAAGCCTCACCTCACTATGCATCAAAGAACTCATACGAGGAAGAAACCCCATGAATGTGAGCAGTGTGGAAAAGCCTTCTTCTACAAGAATAAACTCACTGTGCATCAAAGATCTCATACAGGTGAGAAGCCCTATGTATGTGAACAATGTGGAAAAGCCTTCTACCACAAGTGTAACCTCACTGTGCATCAAATAACTCATACAGGTGTGAAGCCCTTTGAATGTGAACAATGTGGAAAAGCCTTCTACCACAAGTCTAACCTCACTGTGCATAAAAGAATTCATACAGGTGAGAAACCCTATGAATGTAAACAATGTGGAAAAGCCTTCTCCAAGAACTCTTATCTCCAGAAACATCAAATAACTCATACAGGTGAGAAGCCCTATGAATGTGAACAGTGTGGCAAAGCTTTCTCCAGGAAGTGTCAGCTCAGTGAACATCAAAGAACTCATACAGGGGAGAAGCGCTATGAGTGTGAGCAGTGTGGAAAAGCCTTCTTCTACAAGAATAATCTCACCGTGCATCAAAGAACTCATACAGGGGAGAAGCCCTATGAATGTAAACAGTGTGGGAAAGCCTTCTGCAAAAACTCTTCTCTCCAGAAGCATCAAAGAACTCATACAGGTGAGAAGTCCTATGAATGTGAACAGTGTGGAAAAACCTGTAAGTCTGCCTTCACTGGGCATCAAATAACTCAGACAGGTGAGAAATCCTATGAATGTGAGCAGTGTGGAAAAGCCTTCTTCTCCAAGAATGCAATCACTGTGCATCAAAGAAGTCATATAGGAGAGAAGCCCTATCAGTGTGAACAGTGTGGAAAAGCCTTCTCCATGAAGTGTCAACTCACTTATCATCAAAGAACACATACAGGGCAGAAGCCCTATGAATGTAAACAGCATGGAAAAGCCTTCTGCATAAAGTCTCTCTGGAATCATCAAAGAACTCATACAGAGAAGAAGCCCTATGAATGTGAGCAATGTGGCAAAGCTTTCTCAATGAAGTGTCACCTCACTAATCATCAAAGAACTCATACACATGAGAACCCCTATTCATGTGAACAGTGTGAGAAAGCCTTCTTCTACAAGTCTGACCTCACTGTTCATCAAAGAACTCATACTGGTGAGAAGCCCTATGAATGTGAGCAATGTGGAAAAGCTTTCTCCAGGAAGCATCAGCTCACTTTGCATAGAAGAACTCATACAGAAAAGCCTTATGAATGTGAACAATGTGGAAAAGCCTTCAGGAAATATGAGGTCTCTGTGCATCAAAGAATTCATATAGGAGAGAAGCCCTATATGTATAGGAAAGCCCTATGTGTGGGAAAGCATTCTGCTCCAAGTCTCAACTCACTGTGTATCAAAGAACTTGAATAGGTGAGAAGCTGTATGAATGTGAGCATGGTGGTGCAAGGCTTTAAACCTAACCAGCAGATCTCTGCATTTGAGGCCAGCCTGATCTGCATAGTTGTTCAAGGTAAGTCAGGTGTAGTGAGAATATATGTTAAGAAAAGCAAGCAAGAGCTCTAATATAGAAGAATATTGTCTTAACCATATTGAAATTTCTGTCTCTTAGCTTGTGAGAAGCTTCAAGCAGGATGAGAAACTCCCTTCCTTTCCCATATTGCCTTAACTCTCCCTGTTACTTTATCATGTTGATTTTTTCCCTCAGACTTTCATCTGTTGTTCTTAATCACATGTGGCCAAAAGTATATATTCTGATATTTCTTCACTGCTGAACAGGGGTTTAAACCCTGTGTAACCAAATTTACTATGCATGACATAAAAAGTTACAAGCTTAGAGATTGGAGATTGGAGGATCATGATTACATTTCTTTGTAAGCTAGGAGTACATAGTGAGACCATGGCTCAAAAAGACAAGAAATAGAAAGGTGTGAAAATGAGATTTGGCCAAGAGCAGCAGACCAGCAATGAAGCCAGAGTGCTGTGATGACAGGACAGCAGTAGGTGAGTCTGCTGTTAATCTGGCCTTATCCATCCGAGGCACAACATTCTGAATATGGCCTGCTCTGATACAGCGGGGCTCCTCCTAACACCCAGATATGACATAAATTCTAGGGGGCTCAGTCTTTGATGCTTTTATGTTGTTCTTCCCCAGTGTGAGGACATCAAGGTTCCAGTTTCCATCACTAAACACTGCTTCATTTCCTTTGCTCCAGACACCCTTTCCCCTCCCAAATTTTCATGCTTTACCATTGAGTTTTCTCCCCAGTCCTTCGGAAATTTCGCTTCCCATCACAACAGGAGTGATCGTCCATGCACACAAGTCTCTGCCAGTCACTGTTTTAACTGCTCTTTGAAGATGTTGGAACTCTCTAGCAAAATGCACAAAACTGCACTGCAGTGTTATACTTGAAATTTGAAATCCATTGTTCTTGAAATGCCCCCATGGTTACCTTCCTGTTATTCCCAGTGCCATTTCTCCTCAGATTTTTGTCTGGCTTTGGGTCAAACACAGTAATTTAGCATCCCCTCTCTTCTAATACTTAACTAAAGGTACCATGTACACACCTCCTCTCTGAACTATGCACCTGGTAACCTGAACCTCCACTTGCATTCCATTTTATTTTAGTCTTTTTGAGACAGGGTCTCCCTGTAGCCCCAGCTGGCCTGGAACTCACTATGTGGACCAGGCTGGCCTTGAACATACAGAGATCTACCTGCCTCTGCCCCCGAGATGCTGAGATTAAAGTTGTGTGACACAAGTCCTATTCAGTTGTCCTTTTGTGGCTGAGGATGGCTGATTTGGTTCAACTGTTTTTTTTAAAGTAAATTTTGTCCTGAAAGTGAACTTTTAGGGGAGAATTCCTGAAATACTATCTTATGCCTATGCATAATTGGGCATGTACAAGATTAAAATCAGATGCATTGTGGGAAGGGACATGTACCATTGTGAAATTATTAAGAAACAATCTTGTCAGTCAAAACAAAAGATGACCCAAGCTACTCCCTAAATACCCAAACTTCACCTTTCACACCCCATAAAAAGTCCTGGGCAATAACCAGTGGCACTAGAATATCTTCATTCCTGTGGCCCAGTGTCAGTCTTGACACTATCGGATCTGTTTTTTTGCTTTGAATAAAGTTTTTGCTTTACATTACAATATGTGTCCACATTATTTCATTCTTGACTGATACTCCATGAACCTGGAAAAACTCAGTCCAGAATCTAATAACGAGGAACAGTTTTTAGCCCCTTTATAAAACCTGAGGTCTCAGCATCTCTGTCATTCCTGCCTTAAGCAGTGTCAAAGTCACTGGGAGATTCCTTGGTCCATGATCTCCCATCCTGGAGAGGATCTTCCTGCTTTGTAGTCTGTCCCTCTTTGTTCTCTTCTTCTCCCCTTTGCCCTCCACCCTACCTTATCTCTCTGTTGCATTCATCATTCATTCTTCCTCTGTCTTTGTATGGTACTGTGGCCGGAATTCAGATCCTTGTACACGCCAGGCAAGATCTCTGTCACTTAACCACTTCCTTAGTATTTTGAGGCAGGCTGTTTTTGACCTTCTGATCATTGCGCCCCAGCCTCTGATGAATAGAGTCACTGGTGTGCACACCATTTTCAGCAGATGTTTCTTTTTCTTGCCCACTGTCCCTCTTAGGCAGAAAGATTCACCTGAAAGGCTCTATCTTTGCCCAGTTCATATAGTACTCATAGGGCCAGATACACAGCTGATACTCCATTGGACTTGGTTTGTGAGCACTAAGAAGGGAGTTAGCTATGTCCTTGAGATTAGTGTTTGGCATTACAAAGTTGTCCAACAATCTTACACACTCGTGTTTCACACCTCTAAGTATTCAACAGTGTTGAGTCAGGTCAGACATAGGGGACAAAGGTTTCCTACTTTCTTTACATTCATTAGTCACTGTCTGAATTTTTACATGTAATCTCATGGTAAGAACCATGATGGTGAGTGAGTTATGCCTTTCAGGAGAAAGACTTTTTATAAGACTTTTTTCTTTTGAGACAGGGTCTCCCTTTAGTCCCAGCTGTGCTGCAACTCACAGAGACCCACCTGCCTCTGCCTCCCAAGTGCTGGTATTAAATTATAAGACGTCTTAGTAGTATGTGTTCTGTGATGTTCAACTAGAGGTTACTTGTGGGAGAAACCTCTTCTGAATTTAATGGATTCTAATCTCTGACTTATCTGATGCAGATAAGATGAGATCTGATGTCTCAACTGTATGAGTGCTTTGATTCAACCTTAGAGTAGACACTTGGTAGGCTTTTCCACATTGTTTATATTCATAGGACATTTCACCTGTGTGGGTTTTCTAAGTCACAGTATCTGGACTTGTCACAGAAGGATTTTCCACACCGTATACAATGGCACAGTTTCTCAGCTGCTCTTGTTCTCTCATGCTGATGATTGTGTAGGTGCCTTTTCTCAGGGTTTGCATTCATATGTATGAGCACTTTGATGCAGGGTAAGCTCAGACTCTGTTGAAGGCTTTCCTACATGTTGTATATTCTTTTGGTTTCTCACCTCTGAGTCCTAAGGTGTTCAATGAAAGGGCACATGCTGGAGAAAGCTTTGCCACATTCTGTACATTGCTAAGGTTTCTCCCTCTTAAGAGTTCTGTCAAGTGCCAAGTTCACATGTGCAAACCTAAAAGTCTGTTTTCCTATGTTCATGAACCAACCCTGGCTCTTAAATCTTTCCACCACCACCACCACCCCCTTCCATTGTGGTAATTTCCTCTATTGAATTTGACTGTTGCACTTGTCAAAGACATTTCCCTTATCTTTTTCATTCTCTCTCTCTCTCTCTTTTTTTTTTTTCGGTCTTTTTGAGACAGGGTTTCCCTGTAACCCCAGCTGTCCTAGAACTCACTATGTAGACCAGGCTGGCCTTGAACTCACAGAGATCTGCCTGCCTCTGCCTCCCAAGTGCTGGGATTAAAGGCATGTGCCACCACGCCTGGTCCCTTTTTTCATTCTTTTTTAAAAAACATATTTTTACATTTTTTAAATCTTATTTTTGTGTGAATGTATCTGAGTCAGTGTGGGTGCTGCATCCTGTGTGTGGAGGTCAGAGGACAACATGAAGAACCCGTTCTCCTTCCACCAGGTGGGTCTTGGGACTCAAACTCTGGTCCTCAGACTTGGTGGCAAGGGCTGTTACTGGTGGAGTCATCTTCTTGGCCCCTCCCCTTTTAGTTGAGACATGGTCTCCCTGTAGCCCCAGCTGGCCTAGAACTTGCAATGTAGGTCAAATTGACTTTGATCTTACAGAGATTTGCCTGCTTTTGCCTCCTGAATGCTGGAATTAAAGGGGTGTGACACCATATTCTACATTTTCCTCATTGTTGAGTACTGTGGGTGGGCTCAGCCAGATGCGGGTGGTGACACCCCTGGGCAGGTTCAGATAGCAGGCTGAGCCCAGGTCAGAGGAGCAAGTCAGTGAACTGCAGCATTCCTCCATGAGTTTTCCTTCTGTTCCTGACCCCAGGTTTCTGCCCTGAGCTCCTGTTCTGGCTCCCCTCCATGATGAACTGTAAACTGTAAGGTTTCCTACCAAGCTGGTTTTTGTCAGAGGATTTTATCACAGAAAAAAAATTCATGGAAAATTATATATATATATATATGAATGAATTACAAGCATGATGGTTTAAGTCTTTCATCCCAGCACTCAGGAGGCAGAGGCAGGCAGATTCTGTGAGAATGAGGCCAGTCTGGACTATATAGTAAGGGACTAGAGGGAGACCTGCCACAGAAGACCAACAAAAAGAAAAATGAGACTTCAGATCTCTGGACTAGCTTCCTAAACCAGACTAGCTAAAGCCTCATAGTTTGCAAAGTCTCTCCTCAGGTCATCCCCACTCCTTCCCCTAGCTCCTGATCCTCCTGACACAGACTGGCCCTCCTACAACCCCAAAGAGTATACCACACACCACCATCAAAGCTTATTTTTGCAACAGAGTTCCACAACTGGTCACAAACAGAGAATATGCATCTGAGAGATGCCCAGTCCTAGGTGACTGTGGTGGTTTGAATGAAAATGTCCCCCATAAGCTCCAAGTATTTGGACATTTTGTCCCCAGTGGTGGTACTGTTTTGAGAGGTCTTAGAAGCTAGAGGAAGCACGTTACTGGGGGTGGGCTTAGAGTTCTTAAACCTTGCTGGATCTCCAGTCACTCTTGATTCCTGTGCCTGTTTGAAGATGCAGAGCTTAGCTCCCACTCCCCCTCCAGCTACCTCTGCTGCTGTTCCTTCCTGCTAAGAAGGACTGTAATTCCTCTGGAACCATAAACTCAAATAAACTCTGCCTCTATAAGTTGCTTTGGTCAGTGTTTCTATCCAGCAACAGAAAAGTAACTAATACAGTGACACATCTACACTGGAACTTGTACACCTAAGGCTCATGGAACACAGGAAGAGGGGGTAGAGAATATTAGTACATCCCTCAACTCTCACTGGCTAAGTTTCCTTATATGACAGACAGTGATGTACACAGAAGGCCACATCTGGCTAGGTTTTAGAGAATAAGTGACTTCAGAGTGTGTGCTCCTAGATAGGACACCTATATTAAACCTCACCCACCTACAGTTCAGGGAACATTGTGGAAGCGGGGGTGGGGGTGGGGTTGGAAAGATTGTAAGAGCCAGAGTTGGTCCATGAACATAGGGAAACGGGCTTTTGGGCCAACAGAAGTTTGCACATGTGAACTTCCGGCAATGGTGGCATCCAGCTCAGGACTCATACAGATTCAGACAAGGGCCCAGAGTATAGTGAGGGAAATGGGTGACTGTCCAGCCCTAGGCTCTTTGAACTCATGGAGACTGTCCTTACCTTGCCGCTTCATTCTTCATGCTGGCTGACTGTTGGCAGTCAGGGTTATGCTGTTAGCAACAGGCATCATTCAACTCAGAAACTTGGCTTGATTCCAAACAAGGAACCAATGCTGAATTCAAGCTTTGTGAGTTATGGGCTACTGGCTCCAAAGGTCACAAACGTGTTCAGAGGGAAGGAAAAATTCCAATCCAAAGGGTGTTCCCTGAGTGTCAGGTTGTAGAAGACAAAGGGAAATAGGACTCTGCCTGTGGGTTTCAGTGCTTTCAGAACCCAAATAACAGTAAACGAAATGTGGCAAAAAAAAAAAAAGAACACGAAAAATTAAGCATAAACAGAAAACAAAGCTCTCAAGCCATTTGGGCCTGCCTGTGGGTTTCAGTGCTTTCAGAACCCAAATAACAGTAAACGAAATGTGGCAAAAAAAAAAAAGCAGACTGAAAATTGAGACTGAACAGGAAATCAGAGCTGTCAGTCCATTGTGCAGCTGACCACACAGATGGAAGGAAGACCTGGAAACCAAGCAGTCTTCAGCACTCTGGTCTTCCCATCTTTTGCATTGATTCACAAAAAGTTGGGTTCATTCCTCATCACAGGGGAGCAAACCCCAAACCCTCCATTACTCAAGTACCCTATCAGAATTTTCTCAGTGATTCTATATCTAACCTTATTGATCCCCATGGCTGCCTGTTGGCCATGTCCCGCACAGAAACCCTTCCCAGCCTTCTGGGTTTTTCAGTATTTTAGTTTTCCTGTCTAAGGAGTGGAGAGCATGAGGAAATTGCCCTACCATTTGATATATGGATAAAAAATAGCAGTCTGAGCCGGGTATGGTGGTGCATGCCTTTAATCCTAGCACTTGGGAGGCAGAGGCAGGCGGATCTTTGTGAGTTTGAGGCCAGCCTGGTCTACACAGCTGGGGCTACAGGGAGACCCTGTCTCAAAAAGACAACAACAACAACCAAAAAAAAAAAAACAAAAACCCCAAACCCAATCTGCTCTTCAAACACAGTTTCAGATGAAAGCAATCCATATGACTAAACCCCAGAAAGAACCAGAAGTTAAGTTTGGGATGTAGTTTTCTCGGCAGAGTTGCCATGCCTGCACCGCACAAAGCTGATCTCTGAGCGGAGGACGTCAGGATTGAAGATACAATCACACTTTTAGTGTAGCAGAAGAAGCCTTTATTTCTCAGCCCCAGGTTGCTTTTATACCCTAGCCCAGAAGGCAGCTGACCCAACGGGGCGGGGGAGCTGTTGCATGACCACAGGGTCAGTGCCAGGTCATGGTGTTCTCAGGACCTGAT